TCTTGCAGGGTCGATCTGACCCCTAAAAAACGATACGTAGGTCACTCAATAAGTTTTGAGATGCTCGAAATTTAAAAATGAAACGCACCCGTGTTATATGTTTCTAAAAAGCAAATTTATTAAAAAATAGAACTCCATTAGCTAATTGCTCAATATTAAAAAAAAACAAAGTTCTATTAATTTTCCTGCAACGCTTCCCGCGCTTTTCCTGTGATGAACCGCGAACATTTGCGCGCTATGATATATTATCATTTTAAATTTGGTTTAACCGAACAATTAAGTTTAAAACGGTTACAATCAGCATTAGGCTCCATCACGCGCAACTATTTTTAGGTGGTTTACTGAATTCAAAAGAGGTAAAATTAGTCTTACAGATGACCAAAGACCCGGGGCCCCGCAAACAACAGTAACGGCAGAAAATGTATGGACTACTGAAATGTTGGTGCGAGAAAACTCACAAATCACATAAACGGACATCGAAAAGATTTTAGGCATTAGTTCAGGGAGCATTCATACCATCCTACATCAACATCTTGAAATGAAGAAGCTTTGTTGTCCATGGATCGCTCGTTTGCTCTCCAAAAGCGAAAAACAGACTCGTGTGGATTGGTGCCATGAAATGCGTCTACGTTCTGAAAACGGGGCATCTAGGCGTGTTTCAGAAATCGGTACTGATGACGAGACATGGATCTATCTATATGATCCGGAAAATAAAAGGCAATCATCGGTGTGGGTCTACTCAGAAGGACAGTTACCGACAAAACTACAAAGACCTCGCAACGTCGTCAAAAAATGGTGGCTAGTTTTTTTGCGAAGCGGACATTTGTCGACGTCAATGCTGGAAAATTGTAAGTCAGTCAACTCTGAATGGTATACTACAGTTGCATTACCGAAATCTTTTCAAGCTGTGCGGGAGAGAAGACCAAAAATCGGGCTTCGGGGAATCATGCTGCAACACGATAACGCCTCTTCACATAGCTCCCTTAGAACAAAAGCATTTATTTAGGAATCTGGTGTTGAAACTCTAAGTCACCTATCCTACATCCCTGACTTAGCTCCTTGTGATTTCTTTTTGTTCCCAAGAGTCAAAGAAAAAATAAAAGGCAAGTTTTTTTATAGCGCCGAAGAAGCCGTGGCTGCCTACGAAGAAGCGATTTCCGACCTGTCAGATCAAGACTGGCAAAAGTGTTTTCAGAGTTGGTTTAGGCGAATGGAACTTTGTATAGAGCATGATGGAGAATATTTTGAAGAGATGTGAAATAAATATTAATAGTATCTAGAATACTTTTTGAATATCTTAAATCTTATTGAGTGTCCTACGTAGCTGATATAGCCGCAGCCTTCGCAAATATTATTTTCATTAATTCCTGTAAAAAGTCCATTGCTAAACATAGGCCTCTCCCATAGGTTGCTTCACAAAGGGGATATTAATAAAATTATCCAAATGGAATTTAATAAAGTAGAATAAAATGTTGATTCCTCGATTTTGTGTGAAATTATTCAAGTGTACTTAATTTTGGGTTGGTATAAATAAAATAAAAATATCCTAGAGTTATATTACCAACCAGACAATTCTGGGCCGGCTGCCTCCCCCCTCCCCCCTTTTTATACGCCAAAGCTCGTTACCAGTTCCATGTACAAAGTATCTTTGTTACGTTAAGTGACTTGTTTACTGTTTACTTTTAAACAGTCTTTTAAAATGCTACGGTTTTCTCACAGTCAATATAAGCTCTACATAAATTTGTTTGCTATCAATATTGTTAATTGTAGGTAAAGTTATATCGGTATTTCAACTTAAATGGATTAAAGTTTTATAAAAATTCACTTTGCTAGATGTTGTATTATTTAAATGATGAAATACGGCTCTTTCAAAGCATTTAACAAAGAAACACTAAGCGGACAAACTCGCTTCTTTTGTTTTCCATATAAGACAAGAAAATACACTATACAAAAATTACTGCTTACTTTGGTGAAATTTCAAGCTTAAATGGTGCTCGTGGTAAGAGTTATCTTTTTGCTTCTTAATAAAGCTTCTTGAAATCAACAGTAACTAAATATGATAAAGTTATATCTATTGCTATTAGAAATTTGGATGGAAAGCTTTAAGAGTATAGACCTGAACTGTGTAATAGTTACGTAAGTAAGAAAGTGAGGTTAAACGAAGATACAAAAACTTGTATAACTCAAATAATGATTAAAATGCTATATGGCATAGAAATATTATTAAAATATTAATATAAGTTACCAAGAGCTAAGGCTAATTAAACTATCGCTTTGTTTCAATTTACTATAAATGAGTTGATAATGTTATCATATGTCCATACGTGTCATAAAGGAATACTAGATCAAAAAGTGAAGGTTATGAAATTGAAATCAAGGTTATAATAACAGCAAGACTTTTTTCACAAATTTCGTTCACGGTGCTTTGACTGTTTTATGCCAATATTAACTAAAATTTATACTAGGTACGTATTGAGTTTTTAAAATATTAATTATCCAATTCCATTTATATAAAAAAGAAAACTTGCATTAGAATATTTTTTTTAATATTTATTTAAGTTTTTGTAAATAAATGGTGGTTTTATAACAGTTTGGATTGTACCTAATATTTTAAAACAGATAGAAAATTCAAAACTTTGATTCATATACCAAACTCTATTAACCCATTATCTACTACTAAGTTATTGTTGCTAATTGTCAAGTTTGTTTAAAGACGTCGTCGTCAATCGCGACTCTTGTGGCTAAGACAGGGCATAAGATCGCATGCCGCGTGTTTTTATCAAGGTCGCTCTATCACGCGATCTTCTTGCACACCTGAGGCTACTTGTTGCGCTGTAGTTTCACGATATTTGGTGGTTCTTATGAGGTTTAAACCAAAGAAATTTAAATGTTCGAGTATCACTGTTTCTGACTATCGCTTCAAACGTACCTGGGGTTGCCGGCGCGTGAAATCATCATCATCGGAGAGCGTGTCCATATTGTATCAGCGCACGTTGAGCGTGCGTGCGATGAACGCGCACTAACGCGGGTGCGAACGCACGCACGTGCTCCGTGGCGCTGCGATTCGTTGCGGCGCCACGCCGCTCTGCTCGCGTCCGCCGCGGCACTGACGGATTTCAAGCATCGATCCATTCTTGCCCCCGCGGCCGCACTTCACACCGCTATCCTCCCTTACTACACGTGGCTACCCACCCTAAGAATTTCCCACGCTCACACTTTGCTAAGGTAACTTTTGCATTTTTTCCTGTCTGATCTTACATGCAAAGAAACGTTATGAAATTGACTGCCCTGTTTATAACTACTCTAAATAATTGAATAGGTAAGTATTTTCCAATGATACACATAGTAAAATTCGTATTAAGCGCCGCCCAACAGTGTCCTTATTGCGACGGCGCGGCGCGAAAAATATGCAACAGATAGTCGGCCGGCGGGAAAATTCAGCGTCATCCAGCTGACGCGAGACGCGGTTGCGACGTCGCGGGCCAACGATAGCACGAATCCAAAAATAATATTACGACTTTAGACACTGCGTAAGTCTGAGTTATCGTCAGAGAATTGTTCGCGACGTCAGATGATTAGCTTGGTACAGCGGTAATATATAAGAACGTCACGGTTGCAGCGGGTGATTTGGGCTGTTGCGCTAGAGACTAGCAATAGATTGCATGCGTATTTAGCGTACCTGTTTTATGAGTGGGAGAAGCGTTTTCTCGATGGATCGCGTCTTTATTTGAGAAAGGTCGATGTCGGGCAAGCCGGCGGACGCCATGGCTGGCGCGGGCGCGACTGCGCGGGCGCGCGCTCTTCATTGGCGACCGGACGTCACGTGCGCAGCACACACCGCCGCCCGCCCGCCGTAAACACGAGATTGCGTGTTAACGTGTACTCTTGCGGGAATATAAAACTACAGCTTTACGTGTTTTATTTTGTTTTGATTGCGAACGCCAATTATGTAAGTACACTACATGTGTACGATTCAACCAACTTTTTTGTTAAAATATTACTGTGGTCGTTATGAGCTTACTTATTAAAATACTTTATTTGCAATATCTGCTGTTAGTTTGTAAATATGAAGTATTAAATAAAACAAAGACATTATGAACAAGGATTTTATTAACAACTCAAGGCTAAACCCACTTAAACAATAATCATTGGCACTTTATCACAAAACTTGTCAATGATTCATCTCAGGATATTTTTATAAATAACAAAAAATAAAATTTTAATTCTTGATTGTATGTATCGCACATCAATTATGGAGCTATTTTAAAAACTAATCGATGAACCATGGCATGATTAATATGTGTTCAGAATCATAGAATTTGACAATACGCTCAAATTACAGATGAAACATTTTATTGGCATAATATTTACAAGATTAAAAACAAGCGACAAATTACTTCTTATGTTAGTGTTTTAATCTAAAAACTAATTATTAATGATTATGACGTTTGTTTACATTTCTTTTTACTTGCTGAAAATCTATTTTCTTTAATTTTGTTTCTTAATGACAAATTGAATTTGAAATTCAATATATAGGTTGTTACAAAACTTCTTTTTGTCGAAACTGTATTATTTTATTAAGATTTTATTGTTAAATAAATGGAATTACGAAATAATCTATATATTTAATATAATATTATTATAATTAAGACTTTGGTAGTTTATTGTATAAGTAAGATTTAAAATAAAAATAAGGTAGCTTTTTCTAAGGTGGTAAAGTTAAGTTAAAGTGAATTATCATATTTAGCTAATCATTATATATAAATCGATAACATGTATAAAACATATTAAATATAGGAAAAGAAAACCGTGCCAGCAGGCACTAATAATTAATAATTAACTGAACTATTAATGTAAACATTTTAGAGTAAAATTTTTGATTTGATAATATTTTTTGAAATATGATAAAGCTTTTTATTTCAAAAAATTTGTTTCAAATCGGCTATAACATTAAGTTGAAATAGACATATTGATTTTTAACCCAAAGAAATATAAAGCATTCAACTATAATATACTCCCATACTAATTTTAGGACGACGTTTATTATACAGTGCTTGGTTAGAACTAGAGCTGTCTTGCGAACTGTCCGACGTCCAAGGGCTTTTTACGGATGGGTTCCGTACTTTTCTTTTACGAAGACTTTCGGTGGGTCCTAGTGTGGGTCGTAGTAGTTGCTTAAAGCGGAAGGGTCCTTCGTTGTAATCATCGTCCGACATAAATGTTGGAGTTGCCAACATTTCAGGTGAATTCCGCAGAATCTTGCGCAGAGTGGATTCAGGATCATGAGTTAGTTGATATACTGGCTTTGGAGGTGTATCCGTTTTCTGTGTTTGCTTGACAAGTTCATTTATTTTATTGCTGAAATCACGACAAAATTTTATTAAAACTTGGTTATTCATTAGATAAAATGCCTACAACATAAACAAAAAACTAAAGTTGATTAAATATAATAGCTCCATTGTTTCACTTTTATATTCAGTAAGGTTATAATTTATTTGATGGATAACTTTTAACTGATGAATAAAAAATCAGCTAGGCGAAGAATTTTTTTACCGTGTCATTTAAATCTAGCGAAATTTTACAGTGTGAAATCTAATTACCTAAAGAGCAACAATTATACTAAGTTACATGAAAAGTGTCAAGAAATGGGGAACATTCACAAAAACATTGATAAAATAAAGGTACTAGTTTGCATACCCTTTGATATTATCCAAAGTATTATGCATGCGTTAAGAGAAAACATTAACTTATGGCCAAAATCTTTGAAAGTGATATTCGTCTTCGTACCTGACCAGTCCTCCACATTGCCTATTGCAAGGCAGATTTTGCCAATTTTGATTCGGTTGTAGATGACTTCCTTCATTATAATTTTGATTTTGCCCATTTTGTTGATATCTATAAACAAAGTTATTTCATTAAATTGTAAGTTATTTTGAACTAAACAACCACCATAATCTATGTACCACAAGCAGCCTACAAACCTGGGTAACTCATTCCCCATATATTTATTTGTTATCGGTGGTACATCCCACGGTCTAGTGGAACTTTCGAAAAATTCAGGCGACGGACTATTCCGGAAGTTATTGGAAGCATGTAAATAAGAGTGTATTATTTGAATCTGTAATTGTTTCATGAATTCATATTCACCAGGTCAAGCGAATCTCAGATACACAGCGTAAATGCTACAAAATAAAGCTACTTCACGATCGTAATTGTTTTATAGAATAAGGGTGAAAAACGAGCACAGTCAGTCTACCTGATGGTAAGTGGTCGCTGTGTTCTATAGACATCTACATTTAACCTCGATTAAGAACAAAATGCAGATGCGTTGTCACCCGTGAGGACTAAGCTGGAATGCCTCGTTTCCAGTAAGAAGGGTCTCCGGTTCTCTACACTCATCATATGTTACATAGAGAACCGGACGTGGTTTTCTGTGATAGCGTTCTTCCCCGGTCGAGCCGACCCATTTGAGCTAGAACCATAATATAGCTGCAGCGTGGCTCTACCACGTAAGGAAACCACGTGAATCTCAGTTGTAACTAACATATGTGCAAAAAATATATTGTTTTCGGATTTTGGTAATTTGTGATTGTACTCAAGTTTCTGACATTACATGTATATATACAATCTTATACTACTGCGAATATCCTCAACCATACCTGGCACATGACTCTGAGGACAGACCGATAACGGAGAAATCTTCCAAAAATGTTGTATCCTAATTTCGCAAGACTTGTGACGTGTGATGGTATCGGTACTTCGTTCTTAGATCCATCCAGTGTGGTGAGAACACGCAACGTTTTTAAGAAATTCATGCCAGCTGGCACATTCTTACAAACAAATATCTTCAGAAGAGGAATTGTTATGCAGTTAATGTAAAAACCGTAACATACAACATATTTGCTAAAACATGGAAAAACTTATGTACCTGGAAAGGCGACTAGCATCTCGTTCAACTTGGGATGGTTGTCCTTTTACGATAGCGGGTATAAGAGTAAATCCAGGTGGAGGACGATACTCGTCCGGAGGTCTCTCTACGTCTATTAACCGAATCCCAGGCTTGTTGCGCCTAAGATTTTTGTGAACGTCTTGATTTCTATAGTGAGCCTGTAAATATATAATAATATCAACAAATACACAACACAAAAACAACATCGGCATTTACCGTTATCGTTACAGCCTATTACAGCCCACTGCTGAGCATAGGCCTCCCCCATAGATTGCCTCATAGGAGGGATATTGCCATAGTTGCCACGCTTCATAAGCGGGTCAGCAACCGCAGTTTTTTATTTTTATTCGTTATTTGGAAGACGCTGCTATCCATCTCCTGATTTCTTTCTCTCTGTCGCCTCTTACCACGGTATGATATGGGGTAGTGGATATTCTTACACCGCCATTCCTCGCCGATCAGACCATAGTTTGAGTTTAAACTTATGATTATATCTGAATACTCGCTTATGGACCCGTGTATCTAAATAGGTCTGTTTTCAGAGCATATTCAGAGCCTATTTTTATAGACTCGAGACATGCGCTTAAAATCTGCATTATGTTTTAGTTTACCGGTCATGAGATTCCGACGGGATAACTCTGTGGTTTAGGTTCTTCTTACCTTTAATTACTTACAATTAGTTAATAATTCAGTAGATTAAGAGGTAGACACCTCTCATGACTGTGACTATAAAAATAATTATGTTACTTAAAAAGATACTTGGAATAGAAGTCTCTTTTTAAGCAACGTAGTTCGCAAATCATATTTTTTTATTTAACTTTATTTACAAGGCGATTCGAAGCAGAGAGTAGTACCCCGCCAAACTTACATACTCTTTTGAAATTAGAACGTTTCTCAATTTTAACTGCCTCGTGACAATATTCTTTGCTCGTGAACCATCCTTAGGAGAAATCGGTGTTCTTTTGCGAGTATCTGTGGTCTATCAAATCTTATATATGACCACAGATTACAGAGCACTCTACGTCACAATACGTCAGGAATTCAAAGTAAACACGAAAAAATCAGTAATAATTAGTCTTATGAAAACTATACGTAATACCTAGCAATAATTTGGGTAAGTAATGCACAAACGTAGCATCCATCTCAGGAATTACCTACTAAGTTCAGAGGAATTAAATAATTAAATAGACGGCTCCGTGGCGTAGTGGCTTAGCAATGGGTTGCTTGCGCTGGGGGGCGCGGGTTCGAATCCCGCACGGAACAAGTATTTGTATGGCCTACAAATAATTGTTCCGGGTCTGGATGTTTGTCCTTGTGCAATTTGTGTTTGTAAACTGCCTCCACGATACAGGAGAAAATCCTAGTGTGGGGGTAAAGTTTTTAAAAAAAAATTGAAAATTTCTTTCTGTTGCGACTAGCTACTCTTGCAATCCATTGCAATTAGGACTTAGTAAACTATATCCACAGCAGTGAGCACAATAGATCATAGTGGTTAGAATGACATAATAAATTAAAATAAGAGCCACTGTGTGATGCATTTATTTATCTTTGTGGTCGCCTTAAAATTCAGTAGAGACAACCCTAGGATTTAATACAGCATTATACTAGTTGTACTAGAAGGACGATACGATGTAGGTAAATAAGTCGGGCCGTTATTTAGTGTAATTCTATCTTAGCAGCCTGTAAAAGAATCGGTATGATATACAAACTATTGTTACAGTACAATTCAGAAACTAACAGTTTCGGTTAGTGTTAAGTTATTCAGAATTTTAATACAAATATCTGACAACAGAAATCCACAAATGTTACTTAATAATCGTTCTAATTGTATGGGTCATACGTCGCTCAGCGAATTTTGAAGGGGTTCCGAGGCTTTATTGTGTGATAGACTTCGAAATACATAGCTCAACGAATCAGTGAGGTGAAGTGGCAAAGGGCCAGTTATATAGCTCTAAGAACTGACATCTGATAGGAAACAAAGATTCTCGAGTGGCAGCCTAGTACCAGTAAGCGAAATGTAAGGACCTCCGACTAGATGGAGTGACAACCTGGTAATAGACGCAGGAAGTCGATGGATGCAGGTGGTTGAGGACCGTGCTTTGTGGCATTTTTTGGGGGCTGTTACACACGTAAATACACAAGTTTGTGATCGTAGAGATAAAGAGTTAATCTCAGTACATCCAGACTCGAAACTCTAGGAAAAGAACTTTATAAAAAACATCACATGATTTTTACCTGATCAGCGAATGTTTCCAACTGTGCTGCCCGTTCTTGTACTGAGTATTGTTGCATCTTATGCTGAGGTGTTGGTGGCGGAGGATGTTGAGGTGGTGGTGGTGTCCGACCCCTTGCCCATTTTCGACGAGCCGTGTATTCTCGAAAATCTGAAATTTAATCGTATATTTTTTTAAATCTATTCTGCTACGTTTTAGATGTAGGACCTCTAATGGCTACGATTGTTCGACCATTACGAGTTAAGTGTACTCGTAATGGTCTACACTTTCAAACTTGCTTTGCTATTATTAATCTATTTATTTTTATTTAATTTTTAATTTTTACCTAAATTTTATTTAACCTATTTGCCGCGTAGTGGGGACGTAAGCACAGCGGTGACACTCTCTGTACGTGAGAGTTCAAGCGGTGGTGACATTAAGGCCTTAACAGTGGTTGAAATGCCTAAATCTAGGATATTTAAGTAAAAAAATCTCAATAACTGTTCATTTAATCCACAAAGAAAAAATACAGGGTAACAGAAGAAGATTCGATAAATGTTTTTAATGTAAAAAAATTGTATTTTTGTCAACCCCTTATTAGAAAAAAAATCCCCAAAGAGTACCTATCTTTGTCATATTTTGCAAAATTTCTCCAAAACTGCACAAGCTTTTTATATAGTTCTTACACTAAAAAAAAGGTCTTAAAAATATTAATATCTTTAATTGAGAGTTTTATTTTTATTACCCGTTTTATAAGAGAATATATCATTTTTCCCTGAAATTGAATATATTTACGCGAGCGCGCATGCTCCGTCGCCATGTAAGCTCTGTCACAGTCCGTTTTCGGACATCGTCGAGGGTGGACCGCACGTCGGTGTTGGAGCGACTTCGTTCAAATATATATTAGCTTTTTAAAAGTTTATACTCAACTATAAATATTTTTATGACTAGAAATACTTAATTTAGTTAATATCTGTACACTGGTAACTGTAAATATTATTTTCTAAATAAATACATTTTTAAAGTGCCCAAAGAAAAAGAAATTTTTGCGGCGACGTTGATTAGTGAAATTGAAAAATGCATTTTTATATAATTTAGATGTGGAACGACGAACATGCTCTCGTTACTTAGATTTCGATAGTTTTTAATACCTATGTAATTTTATTGTTGCATATTTTTATTAATTAGTTGATAATGAATTTTATAATTATGTATTACAATAAAACGCTGTTTTTATGAGTATGACTTTATAAAATATTATTGAGGAGAGAAATAAAGATACAGATACTTACATTTAGGTACACTGTTATCAAATTATGGGTTTATGTTTTTTTTTTATGTTAGACAAACTATCACCTCAAAAATTTAAAAATTTTAAATTGGAGAGGGGTTTTTCTACGTAATAAAGTTAGAAATGAAGATATTTGCATTAGAACCAGAGTAACTGACATAGCTCAAGGTCATAAGGTCCTCGAGTGGCAACCTCGTACAGGTAAGCGAATTAGTACTCAACCTTTATTCCTCTTCACGTATTCTCATATACTTTTCTTCACACATACACACACACACACACACACACACACACACACACACACACACACACACACACACACACACAAATAGGTCGCAAATAATACTTACTTAGTACTATTAGGCAAGAGTGAATAGGTTTTTGTTAAGTCAGTGCAATTCACCATCTTAGACTACATAACCACTTACCGATGGGATTGTAGTTGCTTTACTATTTGCTGGGTAAAAATAGTAAAAAAAAAAATTACCCTGTGACAGTTTGCATTTAGATATTATTTTTCTAACCAACCATAAAAATATGATGAGAATATGTATATAAGTATAAAGGTTACCTCACACGGGACAGTAATAATATAATATTATATCTTCCATTATCTACGCATGAAAACTTTTTAAATCTCTAAATCCCGAGGTATGTTCATATTAAGAGGCTGAATAGAGCCACATTGAAATGCATGGGGATCGTTTTTTAATTTCACGTCATTATCGAAAAAAAATTGTACGTATTTCAGGTGGCGGTTTGCAAAACACGATTCCACAAAAGTTAACTCAATAGAAAATAATTACAAAGTTGCTTCTAAAAATACTTAAATTTTCAACATCAATTTTTTTTACGTGGTAGAGCCATGCTGCAGCTATATTAGTAGTAGGTATAGTTGTAGCACGAATGGGTCGGCACGACCGGGGAAGGGTCACGCTCTGACGGAATAACATGTAAAATAGCAGTTTAACCCTGCTGTGTTTCGTATGGTGAGTGTAGAGAACCGGAGAACCTTTTTACTGGAAACGAGGCATTACATCTTAGTCCTCACGGGTGACAATGCATCTACATTTTGATACGTAATCGAGAATAGATGTAGATGTGTATGGGCCGTAGCAACCACTTACCATCAGGTGGACTGTGTGCTCGTTTGTCACCCTTATTCTATTTAAAAAAACTTTTTGAGATTTCAGTAAAATAATGTTAAGTATTGAAAGCACTCGTACAATGTCTCATGTTAATAAAGGTATTGGGCTATTTTGATTTGTAATAAAGTGATTTTACTTTAAAGGTTAAATAATTTATTTACATTTCTATATCAAGAACGTTTTTCTGTTACTCCTATTGAATTTGACAGTGCTTGCTGAAATTTAGCATCTTTAGATGTATCAGAATCGCCCGCTGATCCGGCTGTTAGATTTTGAAAAAATAATGGAAAATATTTATTTTTACTTTCATGCCCAAGACTACCTTGTTTTACTTTATTACGGTCAAATAATATTTATTAGGTTATAAAGCAAGTATTTTTGTAAATGTTTTGTATGTAAATGTAAATGTTTTCATTATTTTGTTATTATATTGTTTACAGTTATTATCACGTCTTAGCTTTACACCAAGAATTACATTAGAAATTCTTGATGGGATGCGATGTAACGCGCATACATTATTTTCATCAAGAACTATAATATATTTATTTGTTTTTTTTTTACCAGTAGAGTTTCAACAAAATCTTAAAAATGTTCTATGAATTAAAAAAATGCCAATAATTATATAATTTCAGGTCAGTGTTTTACATTTAAAGATCAGTTATAAAGAGCCAATGTTATTATTTTCATTTTGATTAATTTAATTCGAGACTAAAATAAATGTGAAAGGGCTTTTATCTGCAATAATAATTTTCATCAAAAATAACATAGACTTATAAAAGTCATATACACCGACAATCATACTGAAGATTGTCAATTGTACTACAAAATATTTAAAAGACTATTTCCAGTATAATGACCCGAATATCATCATTAATGTTTGACTGGTACACTTAAAAGTTTTATCACATGGCTAAATGATTGACTTTTATATTATGATAAGGTCATGCTTTTCTATAAAAAGTTGCAAGAAATTTTAATTCACGGCCCTATTGGTTTGTTTTACTTTTCACTTAATTAGTGAAAAACAAAATGGACTGATCTAAAAGTTTACTTTCTTGTATAAAAAGTGCTATTTAGAATTTTATGCAAATGATAATTAAAGTTTCTATGTAAATAAGTGTAACATAGCAGGTATTATATTCAATGGTAACGGCCGTCCATATTTGTAAAGCCAGAATCATTTTCTGTACAGAAACCGGCAGTCTTGCTCAAGGCACTATAAACAAAGCAGCTGATAAAATGTTACACTCATAACTGTTAACAAAAACTGTTTCTGCTTCTGGTCTTATAGATAGAATAATAACTATTCCGTCGTGTTAGGTGCAGGAGCTATTATTAGAAGGAGAAGAGGTAAAATTTTGTTTTAGAGATGCGCAATCAATATTGTTTTGTCTGCAATTGAGCATAAAATAAAAAATAACTTCAGCCAAAGAGCATAAATGGCATTATACTCAGGCCCATCAATTGGTATGGAAAAAAATAATTTTACCAGGTTTCAAAAAATCAATCAAAATTCAAAAAACATAAATATTAAAATGAAAAATTGTATATATGTATGTCTATACAGACACATAATGATTTATGGCCGCTTAGTTACTGACGGTGACTCACTATAACATCCTACAGTCACGCCGAAACTAAGAGGAGAGAATCACTGTAGAAAAGGTAATAATTTATTGCGGAAATTTTGTGATAAAATTAAAAAAAAATATAAACTTATCCAAGTTAATCTAACTTAGTCTAACTTATCCTTATGCATTACAAAAAAAAAACAAATAATAAAATAGTGAGATGGCGACAGTTTTTAAGAAGATATAACAAAAATAAACAAAAAAATAAATTTCAAAAAAGTTCAGTATTTAATTGATTATATACCGCTGACACTTATTCACGCTTTTCGAAACCACGCCAGTTGTAAACAATACTTGTGTGAAAAGACAAAATCTTCTTTTCAAATTTCCGCCGAGTTGTAAGTAGAAGACCAAATAGGTCACGTGTCAATTTTAATTAAATATATTTTATATGAAGTGATCTTGACTACGTTTTATCAATTAACCATTGGTAAAAATTAAAACAGGAATTTTACGATTGTGTTTACAAAAAACATTATTAGTTGAACCTTGCAGCTTGTTCATTATTTTTATTATAAAGACCTATAAATGTATATATTATTAATAAATAGTTCCCATAATATATTGGATTATTTTTTATTTTGCCCTATCTGCTATGTTCTACGCTCTATAGAAAATGTGGCGTATGACGTGACTGACAATCTTTCGAACGTTTTATCTAGGTACAAAGATGTTTTACGTTTTCGTCGCCTCCACGTGATATTTTTGTCAGCATAAGGTACCCTTCTATATCTGAAACGAATGTAAATATTGCTACAAAGTAAAGTAATAGGCTATACAAGTCCCTCTACTGGGCACAGGACTCTTTTTTATTTCTGAGAGGGTTCTAGGACAAGGAAATGCCCGCCGTGCTTCCCCAATGCGTGTTGACGAAAATTGCAATTACAAATTTCATTTGTGCTGTCGGGGATCAAGCCCGGGAAAATTTACAGCGAACGACATATTTTTAATACGACACAAATAAATACGATTTAACATATATAATAAAAATTCTTACGTACTTGAAACTTGAACACTTGATAGCTCGTGATGCCTACCGGACAAAGCTACAGCACCACACCGTGCAATGTAATTGAAGATGCGTAACCGCGACATAATTCTCAGTGATGCGCAAGCATAACAGGCAGTATGTCACTTATATAATTGTCATCTCTGCAGTCTATTAATCTTTGCACTTTTATATGTAATACAGAACGTAGTTGCTAGACGGTATTGACATCGGCTAAAATCTCTGCGATCGCCGTTTCGTCAAGGTCATTCAGGCTAGTTAAAGCCTTAATCTGGAGCGTGTAACGCTAGGGTTGATACCGAACCAAAATGGAATATTATAGATTGTGCCAAAGAAGATACATAGTAGGTATATATTATATAATGTAAACTTATGTATTTAGATAGTGAAAGATACGATCAATTTTAAATTAACTTTTATTAAATGTCTTTACCGATGGGGAAAATTAAAATTTCCGACAAAACAAAATATGCACGACAGTTAATGGTAATTTTAAATATTTAACCAACACTTAGTATTTCAGTACGCAATAATCAGTACTACCTACTACTCTAAAAATTACTTACTCTTATATATTTTTGGCTCTTTCGACTTTTATAATTTTTATTATTAGATATTTCTAAGAATTGCAAAAATTCGTAGCCGTATGTATAATTTTTTTAGAAAATCCATATTGACGCATAGATAGATTGATAGATAGATAACACTTTATTGTACGCAAAAAATAACATAAATATTAACAAAAAATGAGAAACATAAATGTGGTACAATGGGTGGTCTTATCGCTAAGAGCGATCTCTTCCAGACACCTTTGGATGGACAGTATTGCAAGAAAACAATAAAAACGTGTGTGGTTTGGCGACAAAAATAACATTAGTTTTATTAAAGCCTAAAAATAGAAATTATAGAACATGTATATATATACATATATATATATATACATAATTATATATATATATATATATATATATATACATTTATACATATACTTAAATATATAAAAGTACAAATATATACTTTAAAACTATTATACATATATAACATAAATGTGACATACATATAAACAAATATTGTAACTAAATACAAGTAGAATAATTATATACAAATTAATAGGCATTATTTTTGTATAAAACGCAGTCAGTCTGTGCTTGCGTGCAGTGCGTGAGATTAGAGAGACGAGACGCGAACCATAGAGTACATTATATATAGACGCGAACTACTACGTACTAGCCCTCGGCCAGGGCAGTCGACGACGGCCCGTTCCACGCCCAGCGCACATCCATACACCCACACATATCCGCAAGCGATTTTATATGCACACATGCTTAAGTGTCGCTTTTATTTTCGCGTAGTGTATATTTTCTTTGACGTAAGAGAACCTACTACACGACTTAAGACATGGACAGCAGAAGTTTACTAATAACAACAAAATATTAAAGAAAAAACTGCGTTTGCTCTAACTCGCCAAACGCGGCAAGTATGACTAATATCCTCTCTACGGGTCTATTTATAAGACCAATGTTCAGCTTTAAACTTTCGATAATATATTCATTACATTCTAAACTTATCGGATAAGAAAGTTAACAATAAATTTATTAAATAGAAGTCGAAGAATCTAAATATAAAAAAAAAACCTTTTGGAAATATCTTTTCTGTAAAAGTCATTTGCAGAGCTGGAAAAAATTATATAAAAAATGTTTTATCGTAAGAAAATCTTAAGTAGAAGCACCGTGTATGCAGATACAAAATAAAAATGCCAAAATTGTGCAATAAAAAATTAGGTAAAAAAGTTAAAAAAAAATCCGCTTAACATACATTACTCCAAAATATGAATGTGAATAAGAAACAGAAAGGTGATCTTCTAAATGAATATTCCAACTTTTACTCGAAGTGTCATCGCACCACCACTTACACCTTTAGAATTGTGGACTGTCTTTTTTATTTTTTACATACAACTTCCGTGAACCCTAGGAATGGGTGAGTGCTATACAATGTCTCTTCGTTTCGACGGAGACGAAGAGCCTTAGTTTCATGTGATCGTTAGATAGAGCATGCATGAAGTTAGTACTAACGGCTTTGTATAATCACAGCAGCTTGGTTGTTATTATTTTCTTTGTTGCTTGAGTCACTCTCAATGCTGTCTCTTTCTTCACTTGTCGTTTTCCTTAGCAGCTTAGCCTTAATAAAAGCTTTATTCTTATTCGGAACAACACCTATGAAGATAAATTATTACAATGATAATGAAATAAAATTTATCGATCACGTGGGTTAAACACTTTTATTAATTTCCCCGTCGTTTCTACTTGCGATTAATACTTTTATGTGTTATATAATTAATATTTACCAGGTTTTTGATGTCTTCGATGATTATCATCTTGTTCCATCTGCTCCCGTTGGAACTCTCTTGCAAGTTGCTTATGCCGTTCTTTAAGATGTTTTCTCGTGAGCCAGCCCCGAACATGTCGCTGCAGCGTTAACACTGAGATGGCCATTTGAGCCCTAAGACGCTCACAAAGACGTCGTGCCAGCCACGCTCTCGCACATGCTTGCACAAGTATCACTTTCCTTATCTGCAATTGAAAGTTGTCGCTAATTTATAGTGTTATAAATTTCTTCTATAATTGCAAATTTCACTTGCTTACGGTAAATTCTGTTGAATATGACAAATAAAGCTCTGACGATCTTAAATATGGCGGTAAATCTACTCTAAAAACTTAATCATAATGCGACAGCCCGAAATATTGGAAGCAGATTAGCAGTGTAGTAAATCGAAACTGCACTACCAAAATCGTCTGTCCACCTTTGTGTGTATATGAAGAAATCGTCTTTCTAAAAAAGACGTTTAAAATACTATAATGAAGACATACACTGACTAAAACTCGAATATAAAATACACTCATACTCGATACCTACTTGTTCCTCGTAGATCCTTGCAAGAATTTCTACGTGATGGTATTTCAAAAACACCTTTGACTTCCCAAGTGCCCATCCATCCAATTTCAGTCTTAACAAAAGAAGGCGGCAAGAATCACGATTTGGCTTAACTTCTTCATCATAACTAAAAGCTAGAAAACCGTACCTGTAATAAAGTATTAGAAATAAGTATATATTTATAGATATTTCGATTTAATGTTGTCAATTGATGATTTATGACTTTACTTGTGTGAAAAACTTACCGTTTTATAAATTCTTCGAATGTTAGACGGTGGGAAAATCCAGTTTGTCTTATCCTAATTGTTTCAAGTACACCGGTATACCTTAGCTGCTTAAGTATTTTCGCTGAGTCAAAATGTTTTGGTGATCGAGTATCGTTCGGTTTAAGACATCTCACAAATTGTGGGCTTCCACTAACCATTTTTTGAAGCAGTTCCATTAACGAAAAACGGAAGTAGGTTGAAACAGTCTGTTGCGCCCGAGATTGAGATGCTAAACCTCGACTGTTAAATCGGTCCTGCTGCAAATTGAACTGTAATTTGAAGTAATAATTCTGCTCCAAAATAATATCATAACTATCTTTACTTACCCTGAAGTCACCTGAAATTGATTTTTTTATACTTCTAGAATTCATATCTCCTTTTAAAGGCGAATATAAATTACCCGTCTTAGTAATAGGACATTGAAATAGGAATCGAATAATATCATATTGACTTTGTCTCATTAATTGAACTACTTCAGGTGGCAAAAAGTTTCGATTTTTCTCTAAAAAGCCATCCGCTTGATATACGACTCTCCCAGCGAAATGATGAATAGCGAAGCAAACGGCATCAGATTTTGGTCGAACGTAATACTTGCTTTTGATGTTGTTATGAAACTTCTCTAAAATAAAAATAAAAATATTACCGTACCAGTAAGGAAAGCAATATAAATGAGACGTAGATTAATCTTATGTAGTTTATTAGTTACCAATAAGAGTTCGATCTGTGGATCGAGGAAAACGGCTTTCCTCATCGAGCAAAGCCAGCAAACCCATGGGTCTTGATAGTAGCATGTCTAGGACAGGCCTATTGTCAGAAAACTCAACAAGATCAACTGGTATTCCCTCGGCCATGTACTCCTGTTGTTCCCATGTAAAAATATGCTGATTGAAATAGTACTGAATTTGTTCATTTGCAATATTGATACAGAGTTGCTCAAATGAATTTTGCTGAAAGTTTTCAAAACCAAAGATGTCCAAAATTCCAATGGATAGTTGTTCCGCACTGTAAAAATTAAATATATTTATTTTTATACTTATAAATATATCAATATATTTCATAGGTATATTTTAGTGTTTAAAATATTTTATTTTACCTTTGAGGCCTATTTTGACAAAGAAGTGCGTTTATCCTTTCTACTATTCTGTCAAATGCTCTGGCGTATAAACCACGGGCAGTAGCATCCCGTGCAACCGCAGCCTCCGCCGGAGAACTATGTCGAGCTATTATTTCGCCTCTGGTGACCATACTGCTACTGGTTAAACACTCCCGAAGGTCTGATGTTTCTACTCCCAAGAGACAAGAAGCTGAAAGAATACTTCTCTTTATTTTATATATACACAAAAATGCAGATTATTAGACAGTCGATCCTTCCTTTCTTGCCTAATTTTTAAAATGTTTATAATGCCATGTGTTGTAAATTGAGAGAATCCATAATTAACTTTTACGATAGTCATATAAGAGTTATTTTGATGTGTATCCTTAGAAAACACCTTTGAAATATGATAACTACAAATTATTGCATGTTGTCTATGTAGAAATTGTTTTAAATATAATATTATAAGTAACTAAATTAAAGATGATGACGCTCTACCAGAAAATATACTGTATAGCAATAAGTTTAGTAAAACGCTAACCGTCTTATTAATAAATGTGGTTTGAAGGGATCCAATGCAAAGCTGATGCGATAAGATCTAATGTAGGTTAATAATTGAGGATTACCTCTATGTAACGGAGCAGTATCAATTATAGTAGCTCGGTTGTCTGTATTATCCTCGCTTGCAGTTTCTCCGAATTCAATATCACCAAGATGGAGGATAGCAGCAAGCATTTTGTATAAAACAATAACCTCTTCATCTTGAAACCCCACAACCTACAAAAGATAATCTTATTAATGACAATCATCATTATCATACTTAGAATTATTAATAGAAAAGGAAATTGTAAATATACCTTAAAAGCTTGATTGAGTTGGCGCCACCTATGGACGTTATGTTCACGATGTGTCACAGAAAGTGGCTGTAGGTAACGATGTCTTGATCTTAGTTGCTCGTCCAAATAGAACTTCCTCCAACGTCCTTCGCTTTCTAAGCCATCATAGAGGTAGTAGAATATATGAAAGTTACTTTCACCTCTAAAAAATTCAAAACTTACACTTCAATAAGCAAAAAAAATTACATTTGTTCTAAAACAATTTTAGAATTCTGGAGTCTATGAAAGTGTTCATAATGACCCTTGATAAATCTTATTACTCTCGGGTTTGTATTATATAACCAATTTCAAAGAAGCCAAAAAAGAGTCAAAAATTTAATTAGTTTAGAGTTAATTTAATTAGCAGTTGGAAACTTACAGGGCTTGATGGACAACTCGTGATTGTTCTAGTAAATAAACAGACATTCGAGCGCCTGATATTCGCCCAACTCTCATCATAGACAAATCTAAATATTTGCCAAATCTTGAACTGTTGGCGTTTATTCCTGTTCTCGCATTGCCAAAGGCTTCCATTATTGGATTTACTTGTAAAATCTTCTCCTCGAGGTTGCCATGTTGTGACTGTTGAGAAATAAAAGACTATTAGTTAATTAAAACAAAAAAATACTATAATTATAACTAATTTGGCCTTTTTGTACCTTCGATAAAAATACAAGTTGTTTAAGTAATAGGTTTGCGGACTCCGTTTTTCCCGCACCACTTTCACCAGATATAACAATGGCTTGATGACGTTTCTGATGCATAACAGCCTGATGGGCTGCATCAGCTACTGCATATATATGTGGAGGATTATCAGATCTACAACGACTTTGGTATATTTGTTGAGTCTGAAAAAATTTTTTTTATTAAAAGCATAAGGTTACACCCTTAAAAAGACTAATAAAGTTTTCCAGTCTTGTAACTTTTATAAGAACTTACTTTAGGTGTGTAAATTCCTATATCTGTAAAAGGATTTACAGCCACCAGAATATCTCCTATATACGTATAAATTTGATTTTGATTGTATCTATTTTGAATTTGTTCAACTATAGCGTCCTCAGTCAGGACTTCAAGAGTCGCTAAATCATCTGTGTACATACTTTCTGGTCTAGCTTTTCGATGTGATTTTAATTTTCCTCGCTTAGTAGTGGCTTCTGGTGCTCGAAAACTTCTGCCTTCAGCTCTTTGTCTCTTTATCTCTGCATGTAGTTCTTTTCGTATCTACAAAAATTCGTGGCAATTTAAAATTAATAGCATTGGTAATTAGAAATCTAAATAAAGTTAAAATTACCTTATCCTCAAAATTATTCACAGCAAGTAATAAAGGATGTTCTAAAAGTTCTCTCGCAAATGGCCTTTGAAGCATATCTTTAATGAGACATTCAGATATGAAATCTGTAAGCTGTGGTGAGAACATTTCTGGATGGGTTAAACTTGGGGGTGGATTTCGGGGAATTTGAAAAAGTGCTCTCATTGGATGTAACCCTGAAAGCGGAGGCTCCCCTTCTGCTAATTCAATAGCTGTAATGCCTACCGACCATACATCACATCTACAATCATATGACTGATCCAGTTGTTGTTCACAAGCTATCACCTGAAATAAGAAACTTGTGTCAACATTAGAGAATATGCATAAATAATAATTCAAAAATAAAGATAAGCTTTCAACTCACCTCTGGGGCCATCCAGTAAGGAGTACCAACTGACGTATTCCTTCTCGCGGCTGTAGCAGCCAAATGGGATGATACACCAAAATCGACTAGTTTTACCTCAGCGTTTTCAGTGAGAAGTATGTTATGACCTTTAACATCACGATGCATACATCGATGAGCGTGAAGGTGAGTCAAAGCTCGCACAGTTCCTCTAAGAACATAAGCAAGCTGAGGTTCAGTGATATTGTTGCCCCGAGCGCGCATTCCTGCGCATAAATCAGTGACTGAACCGCCGGTACAGAGCTGCAAAAAGGTCAAACATAATCGTGAAGGTTATAAACTATAAATCCTTTCTTATTTATTCATAAAAATTGCACTTACTTCCATAACAAACCATATTTGGTCATCTTCTGAGCTTATTCCTCGTTTCAGAAATAAACCGAAAAATTCTGGAATATTAGGATGAGATGATAGATCTCTAAAAACGAGAAATTCTTCTTCTATTTCTTCTATGTTCTCGGCTATGTTTTCTAAGATCTGAAATGTAAAATTATCAATAGTTTATCACCATACTTTAAAACTGATTAAGTCGTAATGGATATCTATATAGCCGCAATCCATATGTTGACTAACAGCATTGTCATAGATTAAAAGGTTGCAAAATTATGTAAGTAGAGTTAACTAACCTTGACATAAATTTTAAAGTTTGAAGGTAACATCTGCGTGTAATTTATACAAAGATATGTGTAACAAAAAATGCTTTAGATATAATTTAAAATTAAAATATTTGTACAACTGAAATCAATATAAATTATTAAGAATAACTTAAAATCTATTGATCAGAGCTTGATCAAATTCATATGGGATCACATGAGAAGCAGCTTTCAAATAATACAAGAATCATCGAAATCGGTTCACCCAGAAAAAGTTATGAGATAACACACATAAAAAAAACACAGTCGAATTGTGTACAGTCTCCTTTTTGAAGTCGGTAGAAAAAAGGTGATAAAATTTCATACAGGTACACAGATTAAATGCTATGTTACCTTCAGAAAGGGCAACCGGTTCTCATTTTTCATCATAGGAATACAATGAAGAAAAAACAGAAAAAGGCGATAAATATGTAGGAAAAAAATTAAGGAAAAAGGAGAAATAATTTCATTAAATTACTTCTCTTTTAAGATGAACTTAATAGGGAGGCAGCTATAATGGCTATATCACCAAAACTAAGAAATATATTTTGACGTTTCATATTAATCATTCCGCAATAGGATCTAAAATAACCATCTACGTAAATCCAAATAATTATTAAGTTATCTATGATTCATAACAACGTGTATAGTTCTTTATCATTATCACAAATCTTTCAAAACAAAGCAAAATATAAAAAAATTACCAGAATTAACTTTTTTGCTCACATGATAAGTCGTTATGTACCTAACCCTAGAGTTTTTGGATGATTCAAATTCAATATATTTATTGATTTCAAATAAAAAAAAAATTACACATATTTAGCATTTTTTAACTTATTATATGTTTGTTTAAATTTTTATTTTTGGATTTGCATAAATTGTATGAATCATGAATTAAACGAGCCAAATTTTTATAATTTTTGTGAATCCCACTGCGGCGAAATTGCGAGTAAGTTAAGAAAATGCCGGTACAATGGTTGTAAATAGTGATTGAGAACCATTACAAATAGTTTCGACTTCCGATACAAAAAAATTGACTAACGCAAAATAAACGAATGCGAAATATAACACTTTTACGAGAAATTTAAAATATAATGTGGACACCTCATGACTTGACGTGTGGGATCCGCCGGAGGAGGATTTGTAGAAAATACAACTTGAGTGTTACACAAGCGATGAATGAGCCAAAGCGGTGGAGAAAAAAAAGAAAATTGTTATGGACGACTATGAGAAGGACATTCATTTTGAATACATTATAGGAAATCAAGTAATAATTAATGTAAACAACGATGATGACAACGATAGCTCAACTAGATGTAGGGAAAGAATTTAAATAAACTTTCAATCTAGTGTAGTTTTTAATTTATGTAACTTTACTTCTAGAAATTAGCATAAAGCAATAAATAATATGAAATAACTGACAAAATTTGGGTTTTGAGTTATCTGTTTCGAATTTATTCTGATATTAGTCTAGATAAAACTAAATGATTACCAACTCTATGGTGGCATGAATCAATATAGATTTTCTTAAGAATGGAATATTGTAGGTACCGATTTTTCGGTTGGAATGCATAGTCCAATAAATGTGACAGCTATCAAAAAGTATTTTCTTAGATTTGGCGAAGTATAATAACTATACTATAAAAACTATCTAAACAGTTTGACGAATTTTCGTCTCGTAAACGTAAATTTGTCAAAAGAGCAACTGCTCGTGACTGATATTGCGTTTGTGATTTTGAAACAACAAATAGCGTATCGCTTTTGTGAATGACATCACATCCGTAGCCTTTTTTGTTTGACGTTGCGCTTGTTCGTGAACCGCAGTAGTCACTTACATCAGGTGTTCGTTTTTCACTTCAGTCTTATAAAAATAAACAACATTAATACATCATGCTGTATATACTCAGTTTATGTAATAGTTTTTACATAAACATGTAATATAAGACATAGCCATCATCAGCCTTACGTAGTAGAGCCACGCCGAAACTTATTGTGGGTTAGCATGAATTGGCCGGCTCGTTGGCATAGAATAATCATTATCAACATCATCATCATTACAGCCCTACACAAGTCCACTGCCTATATATATGCCTCAAAAGCCTCTCTCAAACAATGCCACAAAGTGCGGTACTGAGCCACCTGCATAAATTGACTTCCTGCATATCTTTCCAGGTCGTTACCCTATAACCCTATATAGTGGAGAGCCGCCAAAAACTTCGCCTAGCGGTACGAGGCTGCCACTCGAGAACCTTTCTTTCCCATCGGTTGTCGGTTCTTCCAGCTATATGGCCGTATGAAGAAACTGAAGTTTGCTCAGCAAATTCGGGGTTTCTATGCGTGATAAACTTAGAAATGAGGATATCTGCAGTAGAACCAAACTAAGCGACATAGCCCAATAAATTAATAAGCTGAAGGGGCTATGAGCCAGCTATATAGCTCGCATAAAATACAAACATAAAATTGCATGATAATGATTGTGTTTCGTATGATTAGTGAAGTGAACTAAAGTCCTTTTTAACGAGCAGCGAGGAATTCTATCTTCCTCGGTGTAGGAGCGCATCTGCACGTCTGTAAGCCACCGCATACACTTACCAGCAGGTGGACTGTGCCTTATTTGTCACCTTTTCTTCTATTAAAAGCCAATAGTAATTGCACTGCTAAAGAAAGAGAACTTTTTATTTAATGGCCACGATTAATAGTAGGATTGGCCACTGGCAGAGTCACATTCTTCTCACCAGAGACAATAGGTCTATCGTTAGTTTGAAATACGGAAATATAATACGTAGATGCAGGGAGAGTTCGTAAATGCTATGATTAAAAACATTTACCTTTATAGCAACCCGGCGCCCAGTCTTCTTGTCCTTTGCGCAGTAGACCTCGCCGTATGTGCCCTCGCCTATCAGTTCTTGCAGCGTAAAGCGGTCGCGCGGGTCCGCCGCGCGATCTAGCTCCACGTGCTGCGAGAGCCCGCGATACGCCATGTCACTGCGCATCGCTCCTCACTTACATCTATATCGTCTGAAAATAAATATATAAATTTTATTTGTCTATGTAAGCATAATGCATCAAAACACGAACGCTCCTGTTAATTCCCAGTAGGAAGCCGCTGTAATAAATAATTACCAAGTCTAAATTTTGACATCCATCTTTAAGTTTCAAGCCTCCTAGAGTCGAAAGAATGCTACGGTTTTTAGGAGGATATCTGTATCGCTCGCATACCTTTTATGATGACTTTTGATGCACAAATATATATTCAATACAATACATTACAATATCTTCAGTTCAGGAACTTTCTTCTTTCCCGCGTATCGCCGACGATAAACTGGCCCATCTGGCCCAGAGAGCCAAAGTACATTTGTATGAATACATGTATGTAAAACACATGTATCGTGATTTCTTATATTTACACGAATACAACACATTGAATAAAACCATTTTTACGGATATCATCGCGTGATAAAGCACCTGATGCGTGGGGAATTAAAAATAAGTCAAATTCGACGCTATAAAATCCGTTAAATTAGTCTTATTCAGCACTATTATCTAATTAGAACCTGATTAAGTTTTTATAGCCGTGGTAGCTCAGATTGTTAGCGCTCACTGTAAATTTCACAGTACGCGAGCAACCCGGGTTCAATCCCCGCCGGCACCAATGAAATTGTTAATTGCAATTTTAAGTGCTGATTTACCAAGTGCTTGGCGGTGAAGGAAAACATCGTGAGGAAACCTGCATGTCTGAGAAATATGAAAAATATAATGTAAAGTTCGCCAACACGCATTGTGGCAGCGCGGCGGACACTTCCATGCCCTAAAACCCTCAGAAATGAGAGGAGGCCTGTGCCCAGCAGTGGGACGTATATAGGCTGTAACTTCAACTTTTTAGTTTTTATCAAAATCGGCCCAGCTGTTCTTTTGTTATGAGTAAATTGCAAACTAATCGAATTTTATAATTAATAATCTGTATTATTTTTACTCATGCAGGTTCTGAATATGGTTAGGGCAATTTTAGAATGTATAAATTTAATGACCATCTTATTTACTATTTCATATTTCAAAATTACTATTTTTGTCTCCTCATATTGAGGTAAGCTTGTGGAGCGAAACTGCTACGTCCATTTTTCTAAAGTAGCCTAAAGACCATTAAGTATTCGTGTCTTTTCCGATTAAACAAATTTTAGCGATACTTATAATTTTATAAGCCTAAACAAATAATTGGTTTTCAAGCATCTGATATATACATGCGTCAGCATAGCATAACCATACAGATAAAGGTCGTAGTGGTGCAGATAATACTAAACGATTTGTTTCGATTTTAATTTTTGTTTCATATCTTTATGAACGAAGATTACTATCACTACTGGTAATCACCACTACTGGCTAACGTATTGAAAACCACTGTAGTAAATGTCTGGCAACTTTGACGTAACATCCCGTCGCATCACCGGATTGGCTGACGCGACGGATTACGTATTACTTACGGACGGATTACTCTGAATTAAATGCAAATATTATACTGCCATCTGTCGGAAGTCATGTGATCTGCTCTAATAGCTCATTTTTGCATTACACCTTATTAAAAGTCCACTACTGAACGTTGAATGAATAGATTGCCTCATAGGGGTGGTGTTTGCTATAGTTACCACGCTTGGTAACACGGTGGTTTGGCAACCGTAGTTCTATATTATTTTGAGTAGTTATCCTGTATATCAATAAACTGCTGCCCATTTCTGTCTAATTTCTCTCTGTCGTCACTGCCGACGCACGGGGCTAATGTGGGCTATTGAATTCTCTTACTAACACTACTCTCTTACGTCACGTATTTTATTATTATTTATTCACGTAAGGGAAGCACATAAAGCTTATAATTGATGATTCAAAATTTTATTGTAATCCAATTCCTACCTTATTTTTATAGGATAAAGATGACAAACGGGCACACAGTCCACCTGATGGAAAGTGGTTGCTGCGGCCTATAGACATCTACATCAAACAAAATGCAGATGCGTTGTCACCCGTGAGGACTAAGATTGAATGCCTCATTTCCAGTAGAAAGGGTCTCCGGTTCTATACACTCACCATACTAAACACAGCAGTGTTAAGCTGCCATTTTACGCTGGTATTCTGTGAGAGCGTAGTCCTTCCCCAGTCGAGCCGACCCATTCGTGTTACAACTATACTAATAATATAGCTGCAGCATGGCTCTACCACGTATAAAATGTAATATATAATCTACAATAATATATAATATGTAATCCAATTCCTACCTAAAAAAAATTAAGTATCTAGATAAAATAAATGTATGAATATACGTAAGTGTTTAATAATGTCTCTAGCTGAATACAAATAAAAGATAAAACTGGTCTTAACCTAGGAAAGTCCCAAAATCAGTTTCATATTTACACAATTATTCGTTTTAAGCCATACCCAAGTAGGAAATAAAAAAAATACAAAATTTAAGGTTAGATTTGCGGAAAAATAATACCTGTCTCATTATTTTAATCCACAGAAGTATTTGTACCAATTTTCAAGTTACAAGAACCGTTTAATAATTTTTCTCCATACAAATATAAATCGACCCGTAAAATAAAAAGTGTCGGACGAACTTTAACACCCTATTTCACCCTTTAAAGGCATGAATGAATGAATGAATGCAAAACACTTTTTAGTGGATACCTACAAACATAAAAATGAAGCTATTATTGCCCTAATTTCATACTTCAACGTCCACGTGATATTATAATATACTATTTGATCTAGCGGTTTGGCTTGTACGGCTAAATAAATACAATATTTGATGTACATACTTTGCACCCACATTTTAAAACCTTAAGGGTAAATTATTGAAAAATTATTTTAATTCAAGAGTATTTGCGTATTGAGTGTTACTTTTAAATGAAATAAATAATAAATTATTTTTCTCCATACTAATTTGAACATGGCACCCCGCAAGGGTTTGTTTTGAAAAATCGCAAAATACGTATTTTGCTAACTCTTACCGCTAAAACTTACTGAAAAGTAAATATTCACTTTCTTTTTTTTATAGGAGAGGGGTCAAACGAGCATACTGCTCACCTGATGGTAAGTGACTACCGCCGCCCATGAACAACTGCAACACCAAGGTAATTGCAGGTACGTTGCCGGCCTTTTAAAAAGGAGTAAGCTCTTTTATTGAAGGTCCCTAAGTCGTATCGATCCGGAAAAATCGCCGGTGGTAAGCTATTCCACAGAGAGGTCGTACGCGGAAGAAAACTTCTAGTGTAACGTACAGTGGTGGACCGCCAAGCATCCAGATAGTGTGGATGGTATCACTTTCAGTAAGTTTGGAGTCAATCGCCCCGTAAAATATTAAGTTTCAAATAAATTGTTACGACCTCATTCACTATACGTGGTAGAGCCATGCTGCAGCTATATTATTAGTATAGTTGTAGCACGAATAGGTCGGCTCGACCGGGAAAGGACCACGCTCTCACAGAATACCAGCGTAAAATGGCAGCTTGATACTGCTGTTTCGTATGGTGAGCGTAGAGAACCGGAGACCAATTTTACTGGAAAAGAGGCATTCCATCTTAGTCCTCACGGGTGACGACGCATCTGCATTTTGATTCTTCATTGAGGATAAATGTAGATGTCTATGGGTCACAACCACTTACCATCAGGTGGACTGTTTGCTAGTTTGTTACCCAATCCTATTAAAAAAAAAAACCACTCTCAGGGGTTGATTATATTCTATAAAAATATTTTTAAGATTTTCCTTACCAGCCTATAGCTGGCCATTGGTCTAGCTGTATGAAGGCCTCTTCTGCTGTCGCGAGGATTTGTTGCACCGTCATCATGCTTGACAGGCCGATTAGCGGTCGTGTTGCATTTTGCCGCTGCTTCATGTCGTCGGTTCAGATATTTTAATTCTGGCATATACAAGATAGTATACTACCATCTATACATATACACTCACGCCTATCAGCCAGAGGGGTAGGCAGAGACTATGGACTTCCATTTGACATGATCGTGACACACCTCTCTCGCTTTCTCCACATCCATATACCTACGCATACGCATACTACCATCTATCCTTCCGTCATAATTATATAAGGTCCTTCCAGTCTTTCTCGTAGTATCATATTACTGTCATTAGAAGAGGAACGATAAAACAGAGGATTCGATTATACTACCATTTTGACCACTATTCGTTTTTGAACTGTGGTAGCTTAGAATTCGACCCCACCGCAACGTACATTATCAAATACTAAAAGTAATAGCCCGTCCATATTGCGCTATCTTGGAAAAGCCTATGTCATTACACTAAAGGCTGTTGAAATAAATCACCACATGCTGGATGCTAAAGCAAAACATTGTGTGAGAATTGCATGTGATTTGACAGACTAAAAACATTAATAATAGTTAATCCTTTCCTATTTAAAAAGCTTATTAATATTCGTACGATTTGGACTTCACCGCGCTGCCGCAATGCGTGTTGATGGACTCAATTGTGCTCAAAATTTTTTATTACCTAGACATGAATTTTCCTCACGATGCTTTACATTTCCATCGTGCAAGCGATAAATTAGGACGTAAAATTGCAATTAACAAAATTATTAGTAACACCAAGGATTATACTAGGTTTTCGTGAGTTCTATGAAATTTTAAACAGCGCTCTTTTGAATACGCTGAGTTAAAAAGGATAAATTAATATCAATTATTTAGAATCCTTACCTTAAACTAAATAAAACTTAAACAATTAACTTTACAATTAAATTTATTTCTATTTACATAGAAAGTACGTATACAATTTTTGTAAAAAAAAAAGGAAAGCGAGAAAAAAATTATTGTCGTTCAAAAAGTAAACAAGTGAAAAACGTGATTAATTATTACGTCTCGTGCCATTTAATGCGTTTAGTATTCGGTGCACGCACGCGTTAAAGAAACTATATCATTTACTTGTCAAATATAATAAATATCGCCTATGATAATTAAACTAGTGAAGTGAAGTGAGTGA